GTGTCAAAAACCTAGGGGTAATTAACGAACGACTAACAGTTCGCATTAAAAATAGTTTCGGTAGTTAGGGAAAGAAAAATTAATATTTGAATTGAAAAATTTCGGGAATGAAGAATAAGTAGGATTGGCGGCAGTTACGCCCTTGTATTTCCCCGAGTATTTGGTGGTCCCTCAAGGCTGACGCCTTGAAGGAGCGATATCTCCACCAATCAAAATCTCGCATTTGATTGGTGCGAATTCGGCACTCGCTGAAGTGCCGGTGACACTGACCTCGTCAGTCAGTTCGGTCGTGACCGAGTTATAGAGCGATCGCGGACAGTTTAGTGTGTGTGCACCATTGGATTACAGTGCCTCTAAAAGAATTATAGCCGTAATCATGGTGAAGAAGGGAACGAGGAAGTCCCGAAAACCCACGAAGGTGAGTTTTCTGTGGTTTTTTTTTGTTAATTTTATATTAACATTTCGAGCCCATTGCTGGCTTCGTTTTTTTCCCCTCGCAAGAGTGGCGTAATTCTTCCCTCTAGTGGTTTTTCCACTACTACAAGGTGTTTTATGGATTTAATATTAAATTGGAGGTGTCGATCGCGCATAACCCTAGTGGAAAAACCTAAGGCAGAGGCGTAACACGCCTGATCAGAATTTCGGATCGGACTTGATCAGTTTCTGATCAAGACCTGAACAGAATTTCCACTCGGGAATTAGCGGGTTTCATAGTTTTTTTTGGTCCATTTTGGGGTAATTGTGTCGAATATTCCGCTTTGTCCCGATATTCGCGTCTCTCTCGCTCTCGCAGCGAGATGGAATCCGTCTCACGACGAGAAATCCCGGCGTACCTCAGGAATACCCGGTGGCAGGCGTCTTCTGAGCCGTTTAAAATTCCTCCCGGCTTTCCAAGCTGGTGGAGAGGCTTCCAATGAACCGAAAATTATGATTTCCGGTTCATTGCGTTCCAGAAAGGTTTCCGAGGATTTTTTGGATCCAATTTTTGAATTTCACTCTACCGATTTTTTGGTAGAGTGAGTTAAACTTAAACGAATTTTCCCATTCTGCTATCCACGTAGGATGAAATGGAATGTGGCGTGTTTTCTTCTCTCTCTCGCGCTCTCGTGTTGGAGATTATATTTTTCCCCCCGATTCTCGGAATTCCCGAGTATTTAGGGATTAGCGCATTTCGCGCTCTACTCCCAGTATTACGTGATACTGGAGGAATTCGGCCTGTAGAATAATAAGTTGAATTAAATATTACACTTCCGATTGAAATTAATTCATTCGGATTAATTTTAATTATTTCGATTATTTTGATTATTTTTACTATTTTGAAACTTTCTATGATTTTGTCATTATTTTTGAATTATACTAGAGTCTGTAAAATTATGAGACCACCCGATAAAAGTTATTTATGAATAATTAAATTATTGAAAAATTATGTAAAAATTAACTGATACATATTTCTGTGAAGTCAATAGCGGAACACGTAAGGACAATGTTGACTTTTCGTTATTTATTTAATTTTAGTTGTTTTTAGTCTGACCACCCCTTTACCCGTGACCACCTGTAATCCACGCCTCTCTCCATAACCTGCATCCTGAGCGAACCTGGGACCGTTACCTTTCCCCACGGGTCTGGCTTCTCGAGTCTTATTTTAAATTTTTGGGTTGAGGTCGAGTCGTAAGGAGTTTTAAATTGCGAATACGTTTAATTTTCTTGGGTCATCCAGTTTGGTAATTCCGGGAGAAAAATTACCTGGCGCCCATCAGTTACTTTTATTTCGAGTTTGTGAGACCTAGGGGAAGTAGGGCGAAGGTGACGGACATTTTTACCCCACCAGAAAATGTCACGTTACACAGGGTTTTCAACCCAACCTGTATAGTAATTTTTACTACATCGCATAGTAAAAACTACTTTGTGCTTTAGTAGATGTTTCTATACGAACATAGTAAATATTGCAATATTCCATAGCAGCGGTAGCTATTTTTATAGTAATTTCTACTATAAAAATATAGCGAAAATTATTATTCAGACATAGGAGATTTTACTAGGCGTGACATGGTAACGGTTACTATGTGCATAGTAAAAAGGGTAGGCGGAAAAATGAGACCACGGAAAAAAGAGACTAAGGGAAATTTTCAATCTGGGTGGGTTTTGACATGTTTTGGATATGGTAAGTGGAAAAAACAGACGAGCGAGAAATAATACCACACATTCAAAACATGTTAAAACCCACCCAAATTGAACATTTCCCTTGGTATTTTTTTTCCGTGGTCTCTTTTTTCCGGGATTCAGTAAAAAGTGGCATGAACACAAAAAATGCTCCCACAGTACATTGCGGTGGTTTCTAATCGTCTGTGGATCAGTTCGAAAGATCACACCGATTGAATACATCGACCCCTTATGTTCAGTACTAAAGCGACAGTCCAATGAAGTAGTAATGGAGGTCACATTGAAAAAATTAGACACCAAATCCAGTTTGGAAATATGATTTTTTTCCTTTCTTTCGTTTTTATTCCATACCTCGAATTCTACTCATCCGATTTTGATTTATGAGGGCTCAAAATTTTTCATTTTTTACCACCTGTAAGAATATTTTTAGTAATTTTTCTTTTAATCCAGAGATGCTGAAAATTCCAAATTTTCGAAAAACTAAGTTGAAAAACTGGAATTTTCCTAATTATGTCAGGATTGATTTTGACCATGTTTTTTCTGTAATTCGTATAACCAAAACATAAATTTTGAGCGGTCATACGACAAGATAGGCCTCGTCCCGGATCTATTTTATTTGTAAATTTTTTCCTTTTCGAAATTTGTACATTTGATAAAAATCCCCTTAAATGCCATTAGTTGACTTTTATTATGCCATTTTTAAGGTAAAATAGAATGTATACCTTCATATTGTTGCGTATTTGTCCTTTTCCTCCCTCTCACCCAACTTCATGTACGATCGTCTCTTTCCTTTCCGTTAGTCTTTTATCTAAATCTCTAGTCCGCGGACGCATCATCCTTTTTGTATATCTTTTTCGCCCTTAATTCTTTTAATAAACATTTATTTATTAAATCATGAAGTCTCGTTTCGTAACAATATTATATATTTTTTAGAAACATAATAAAAGCCATTTATTGTGGTGTTTTTATCAAATTTGCAAATTCCAGAAGAGAAAAAATTAAAAATAAAATAGATACGGGACGATGCTTATCTTGTATGACGGCTCAAAATTCGTGTTTTAGTTATACAAATTAGGGAGAAATAATTATCCAAATCAATCGCGGCATAATTTGGAAAATTCCATTTTTTTCAACTTTTTTTTATTAATTTGGAATTTTTGGCATCTCTGGATCAAAAAAAAAGTTTCCTAGAAATATTGTTACAGGTGTTGAAAAATGACAAATTTTAAGCCATAATAAATCAAAATCGAATGAATTGAACTCGAGTTATGGAATAAAAACTATGAAATAAAAAATTTGAAATTTGAAATTTAAAAATTGAAATTCGAAATTTGAAATTCGTGAAGTCGAAATTTGAAAATTGAAATTCGGGAAGTTGAAATTTTTCACCAATCATTCAAATTTCTTCAAATTCTTGCTTCCTGCATTTCAAATGTCAAATTTCAACTTCCCGAATTTCAAGTTTCAAATTGCAACTTCGCGAATTTCGAATTTCAAATTTGAAATTTCGAATTTCAACTACTGAATTTCGAATTGCAACTTACCGAATTTCAAATTTCAACTTCACGAATTTCAACTCGCTTCGAGAAGTTATACATGTGTCCCGTTAAGGGACACGTGAAGCAAATTTCGAATTTCAAATTTCGAATTTCAAATTTCAAATTTCAAATTTCGAATTTCAACTTGCCGAATTTTCAATTTCAAATTTCGAATTTCAAATTTCAAATTTCGAATTTCAAATTTCCAATTTCCAAATTCGAATTTCAAATTTCTAATTTATTTACCGAATTTCAAATATCAAATTTTTGAATATTTTGGCTATTTTGAGAAGACATGAAATCCTTGGCAACGAGCCACAGTATAAAACGGCAGATATTCATTTTTACCCTCTTTTCAAAAAAACTCAAAAAGGGGTGGGGGTTTTGCTCACTGATAGAAGGATTCGGTTGATATTCCACAGGCTCGGTAACTATTACCTAATGGCGCAGTTAAATAAAAACAACTGAATAATTTGGTGACAGTCAATGAACGGTTCAGTTGAGAGATTAAGGTTGAACCAACTGACAGCGCCGACTTGGCGCAACTAACGCCCTGTTCATTCAACTGCGATTCGGTAACTATTACCGAATCGTACGGTTGATTCAACCGAATGGTGTAGATTTACATAGTAACAGGCAACAGTCACTTGATACAGCCACGTGTAAGTAACTTCAAGTTCAAGCGACTGATATGAAGAAAAACGTTCAACCGAATACGTTGAGTAGATACAAATGAACACTTCTATCAGTGCTCCCAACCTAATCCGATCTTCACCAGGTAAAGGCCTATCGATCGCGACCACATTCACTTCGATCACACTACGCGTATGCCCGGGAGCAACGGGCCACAGTATAAAACGGCAAATATTCGTTTTTACCCTTTAAAAAAAAAACTCGAAAAGGAGTGGGGCGATTTTTCTCCCAACCTAATCAGATCTTCACCAAGTGAAGGCCTATCGATCGCGTCCACATTCACTTCGATCGTACTACGCGTTTGCCCGGGCGTAACGGGCCACAGTATAAAACGGCAAATATTCATTTCTACCCTTCTTTTAAAAAAAAACTCAAAAAGCGGTGGGGGAATTTTTCTCCCAAGCTAATCCGATCTTCATCAAGTGAAGGCCTACCGATTGCGACCACATTCACTTCGATTGCACTAAGCGTTCGCCCAGGAGCGTGGACAAAAAAAGTGGCTACACACACACACACACACACACACGCGCTGACGACGAAGGAAGAGGTGCTTGAAGCCCTGAGACTCACAGCCGGGGTAGATTGTCAAATTTCCCCGGATGCCATCAGGTCTTTGCGCAAGGCCTACGGAGGTACCCAGACTGCTTCAGTGACACTGGCCGCAGCCGTCGTGAAGAAAGTCCTAGGCGATCGAGGCAAGATCCGTATAGGATGGGTGAACTGCCGGATCAGACGGGTGGAGAGAGTGATCAAGTGCTTCAAGTGCTGGCACTATGGGCATCTCGCCATCAAATGTAGGAGTCAAGTGGACAGAGCAAAGCTCTGTACAAAATTTGGGGAAGATGGACACAAAGCTGCTGGCTGTGAAAAAGCAGCCCTTTGTGCCTTATGCACTGAGAGAGATCCATCGAAGGACTGTGCCCATATTGCTGGTAGCAGCAGATGCCCTGTCTTCAGGGAGGCACATCAGAAGGTGAATAAGAAACAGTAATGCGGATACTACAGCTAAACCTCAACCACTGCGAGGCCGCACACGATCTGCTCATGCAGACGGTGCGGGAGCTGAAGTTCGATCTGGTGATCGTCTCGGAGCCATACAGACATTTGAGCAATCAGCCCTGGGAGACGGATAAGAGTCGCAAGGCCGTAATCTGGTCTTGTGGGAAGTTTCCGTTTCAAAGCATTGCGACTACTGATGAAGCTGGCTTTGTGGTAGCTAAGCTGGATGGAATTTATTTCTACAGCTGTTATGCTCCACCAAGCCTCACCCTTGACGAATTCACGGACTTCCTGCATAGACTAACTGAGGACGCGAAGCAGCACTTCCCTATTGCAATCGCGGGGGACTTCAACGCCTGGGCAGTCGACTGGGGTAGCAACGAGACAAAAGCAAGGGGGCAAGCACTACTGGAGGCCATGTCTTCGCTGGACATTGTCCTGTTGAACAACGGTGATGGACCCACGTTCGAAAGAGGAGACAGGAGCTCAATAGTAGACCTCACCTTCGTCAGTAGTAATCTCGCAAGGGAAAACTACTCCTGGAAGGTGATGGATATCTACACCGCTAGTGATCATCGAGCAATCTTTTGGGAGGTGTCCGCTGGTCGAAAAAACAGACCAATGCCTAGGAAGACAAACGAAATCGGCTGGAAGGTGAGCACCTTCGATCCTAGCACATTCTCAGTGGCACTGGATGATTACCCCATACGGGGCAGCAGTGCTACGGAGAAAGCCGAGGATCTCATGAGAAGAGTTAGCGAGGCTTGTGATGCTTCAATGCCTCGAAAACGCAGTGGAGGCCGTCTGCCACCAGTGCACTGGTGGAATGATCATATTGGAGCTCTTCGAGAGGAGTGCGTTAAGGCTAGAAGGTCGGCTCAGCGTGGTCGGAAAAAGCTGAACTCCGAAGAACTGGAGAAGAAATGGAAGGATGCTCGCCGAAAGCTCAACAAAGCTATCAAGGAGAGCAAAAAGAAAAGTTGGACTGGACTCCTTGACGAAGTCGAGAGTGACTCGTGGGGAAGACGTACAAGGTGGTTATGACGCGGCTGAAAAGCAGGCCTATGCCATCGCCGACCTGTCCCGAGCTCTTGAAGGAGATTGTAGCGGTGCTTTTCCCGCGACAACCGGAATTTCAGCGTGCCAACACACGAGGAAAGACTTTGATGGTCCCATCGATCACCGAGGAAGAGCTGATGGAGGCGTGCGACAGATTCGGGAATGCCAAGGCCCCGGGTCTTGACGGGATCCCAAACATCGCACTGAAAGCCGCTATCCATGCGTTGCCAGGCCTCTTCTTGGACGTTTTCAACGAGTGTCTCAGCGAGGGCATCTTCCCTGCAAAGTGGAAACAGCAGAGGCTAGTGTTGCTCCCGAAAGGGAAAAAACCACCGGACGAACCTTCATCNCGCTGTCGAACCAATGCTGTCCACCGACCAGTTCGGCTTCCGGAGAGGCCGTTCAACCCTTGAAGCGATCAATCTAGTTGTCGATACAGCTAGGGAGGCGATTTCAGGGGAGAGATGGCTTGGAGGCACAAAGAAGTACTGCCTGGTGGCAACACTGGACATCAGGAACGCCTTCAACTCAGCCCGATGGGACTGCATCATGGCGGCCCTTGAGAGATTTGGTGTACCTGAATATCTGCGGAGGATGGTGGACGACTCCTTCACCGAGAGGGTCCTCAAGTACGACACGGAGAGTGGCCCCAAAGAGTACAGAGTCACTGGAGGGGTACCTCAGGGCTCGGTGCTGGGTCCTCTTTTGTGGAACATCATGTACGACGGACTGCTGAAGCTGACACTGCCACGCGGTGTGCGGCTCGTAGCTTTTGCAGATGATGTGGCCGTAGTGATTGTAGGAAAATACCTGGAAGACATGAAGCTCACCTTTGGAAGGACTTTCGAGGTGACTCGCCGTTGGATGGACTCCGTCGGCCTGAGCCTGGCCGAGCATAAAACGGAGGCCGTGTTGATCACAAGCAGAAAGGTGTTGGAGACAATCACGCTGCAAGTCGGGGATTATGAGCTCACATCCCAGCCGTATATTCGGTACTTGGGAGTGATGATTGATGCCCGACTCAGTTTTAAGCAGCAAGTGGAACACATCACAACTAAGGCGTCAGGGGTTCGAGCAGCTTTGTCTCGCCTCATGCCCAACATTGGAGGTCCCAAGCAGAGGAGACGAGCATTACTGTCATCGGTGATTACGTCAGTACTCACCTACGGCATTGCTGTATGGGCGAAGGCCCTTCAATTACAGCAGAATCAGCGCAAAGTGGGGCCTGTCTACCGACTTAGGGCCCTTAGAGTCGCCAGGGCCAGAGTCGCACCGTGTCCAACGATGCCGTGTGTGTTATAGCCGGAATGATGCAAATTGAAGTGCTAGCCGAGGAACGAAGATCCCTATTCCAGCAAAAAGGAGAGACGTCATTAAGTCCAACCGAGATTCAGGCTGAGGCCAGACGAAAGAGCATAGAACGATGGCAGTTACGATGGAGTACCTCACTGAAAGGTAGATGGACATATCGTCTTATCCCGCAGGTAAGTGCTTGGGTGAATCGTGAGTACGGAGAGACCAACTACTATTTGACACAGTTGCTTTCAGGACATGGGTGCTTCCGGGCCTACCTTCATAAATTCAAACATGAAGATTGCCCGGATTGTCCGACCTGCTTAGGTACCATGGAAGACGCAGAGCATGTATTTTTCATGTGTCCACGTTTCAGAACGAGCCGCTTGGAGTGGGAGAATGAACTTGGAGCATCGATCCTGCCCGAGAACTTGGTGGAAGCCATGCTGTCATCGAAAACAGCCTGGGACGCAACGAGTGACTTTGCGACGAAAGTCATAAAGGAGCTCCGCGAGGAAGAGCGTCGTCGAAAGAACGCTGTATAGGAGGAAAAGCTACCGGAACCTTCTTCCCACGCCCAACACCTAAGTGAGGAAGGAGGACGTACGGTTAGTGATGTTAGTAGAGGAAGAGCAAGAGCTGATGTCCCCCCCCCGCGAAGTAATGCCTGACGGCCGTTCCGTGGGGAATATGGGGTAAGAGGAATTGAGGAAAGAGGGCTTTACTCAGTAAAAATCTGAGATCCGTTTTTTAACATCCTTTTAACGGAATCTTTTGAAGATTACCTTAAACCTCAAAAAAAAAAAAAAAAAAACACACGCGCGCGTTCATTTTTTTTTTAATCATCGGGGGAGCTTCTACTCGTCATGAAACGTCGACATTTCATGAAATTACAATTTTTCATTTTTGGGGTGAAACCAATAACTTCCTATCGGGAAGTTAAAAAAAATCATATCTCCGAATTGGATTTTCAAAAAAAAAGTGTGAAAAAATTTGAGAGGTCATTTTTTAAGCCCCTCAATCGTAGAATCACCATCAATTTTTGAGAGGGTGAGGGTCAGAGGCTTATTCATTTCATGTGAAATACCTCATATGTATCTCCTAATTATTACACATCATTATAAGGAATTTCCCAACGCAACAATGAAATTATTCCAGTACATATTCGTGATAAATATTTTGACTTTTTCACGTTTTTTGCCATATTCGCGTTTTACGATGTAATATAGCCCATTTTACTATGTTACATAGTATTCTGTCCTATGTTCGTATTGTAAGTTTTGCTAAATCTCCATAGGGATTTTTACTATGTAACATAGGAAGCATTACTATTCAACATGATTACTACATGAAGAGGCTTCATTCCTATGCATCAACTTACTATACCTTATAGTATGCAATACTATATATTATATATATATATATTTTTTTTTTTGAAAAAATATGTTTCAAGTTAAGTCGACATAGCTTCATCCCGTTCAAAACATGAGACTTAACCTACTTTCTTTTATTGCAAAAAAGTTATGAAATATAGTTTTTTACTCAAAAACTTTCTACAGGTGTGTCACACTCTCTAAAGCCTATTAATGTAAAAAAAAAATTTTCGAAAAAAATCGACTTAACCTAATTGACCACTTCGGTACTGAATTCTTGACCCACTCTATCATATTACTATCACAAAACACCATTTCTTGATCAACAAATGCTTTGAAATGATGGATCATGTATTAATTGATGAAGATTTCAGAAACTAAATTTCAACAAATATGAAATCATCGATACTTCAGAATCTATTGGCCAGAACTAGTTCGAACTCCGCAGAAATATACCTTTTCTGTTGTACAAATTTAATATGATTTTTTCAGATTTTTAAAAATGAAAGTTTTTTAGTTATTTGCGTTTTTCAAAAAAACGTAGTTTTACTATTGTGGCGTCAAAAATGCACGAAATGAGGTTAATTTGGGCTCATTTTCAAAGGTTTTGAATATATCTTCAATTTCTCAAAGTGAAATTCTCGATTTCAAAAATCCGGCGGAGTTATAAACAAAACAAAAAAGTTGTTTTTCAAATTGTCAAAAGTACACAATTTTCAAAAAATCATAACTCTTACAAATAATTTTATTTTGGGCTGGGAATTTGAGAGCAACGTTTTCTCATGATGAAGAATACAGAAAAAAATCACGAGCACGATCGGAGACATCGATTTTTTTTGCGCTGCTGGTTTGACGTGGACACGCTCATATGTTATAGAGAAAGATTTGATGAATCACAATCCATAAAAAAGTGAGCCTTCCTGAGTCCAGAAGTGTCTGACCTGAATGGATTAAATATCTGGAGGGTTGAAGACTATTCACAGGGACACAAGATCCTCACTCCAAATTGAATCACAAATCGATTGTCAATTAACAAAAGAAAGAATGAAAAAATAATAAACTGAGAATTCCAGTAATGGACAATGCATTCGGAAGCATATTGCTAATCTATTAGCAACAAACTATACGCATATACAGAAAATGCAATTATTCACTTGTTATAAATTTCCAAACTTTTGCAATTGAGGATCATTTTTTTATCGATTGCCAGGGTCTCCAATTGTGTATGCACTGAAAAACTATCATTCTTATTAAATCATGAACATTA